ATATTTCTATTTTTAACAACGCTAGATTTACATTTATATTTTATATTCATTTTTGTTGCTAAATTTGTGTACGGAATTTACAGATTTGCGCCACGGTGCATTTATCGAGCACAGTGTTACCTGTTTTTGGAAGAAATGATTTGAAATAATTTGTAATTAAATTATGTGAGGCAATTTTTGAAGACGACTTTAGCATCAATAGAAATAATAAAAGTAATCTATTTTTTACGTGCAATTTCATGCTCTTGCCCCACTGTGCTGTTGTCAAGTGGGTCCCCGGAAAACACGAAGTAAACGCACTAAAGCATATTTTATGGCTCACTTGCAGCAGCAGCAGGAGCAGCAGGAGTAGCAACAGCAGCCGCACATAAGTAAGATGATGTGAGAGATGGGGAGAGGCACTCAAACGACGAGAAGAATGATGATGCTGCTGGAGGTGGTGGATGTTGCTGCTGCTGCTGCTGTTGATGATGAGTCGCCAGCTTTGCCCCTTTTGGTTCGATTTGCCATTGGCCGCCCACCCACGGCTCTTCGGGGACACTGGGGACTGCAGACTGGAGAGACTTTTTTTTTTTTGCTCTTTGTTTTTGTCTTCCTTCTCGTTTTCCTCATCGACTCGAATGTCGCCCAATTGGCAGCCCAGGACATTGTTTAATATGCAAAACCATTTCCGTCGACATTCCGATGCGTCGCAGTTGATGGTCTTAGGGGTTTGTTAGGGAGCATGAGGGATTGCCAAAGGCTGCCAAATCAGCATGAAATGTGCTTAAAGTGGGCAGCAGGGCTACAGATAATGATGATCACCATGCTGCCGCTGATGATGATGAGGATGATGATGTAGCCTCCCCAAGGCATTTGTGGTAGCTGCACATATTGATAACTGTTTGATTTTTTATGAGTTTATAAATTTGTGATTAGCTACAGGCTATCAGCTGGCGGCTGCTGCTGTGGTTTTTGATTGAGTTGAGCGTGGGCGGTTGCTGCTGCTGTTGCCGCCGTTGCGGTTGCCTGGCGTAAATTCCAATAAAATTCTAAGCCACGCAGCAGCAGCAGCAGCGACGCAGCAGCAGCGACGCTCAGCAACGCCCAAGCACTTTGCATATGCATGTAAATGTAATGCCAAGTTTTTCCGAGTGCTCTTTGGCGAGCATCAAGACAAAAGGCAATGGCTGCCGGTCCCACCAAGCGCCACCAGCCGACAGATGGCGCTTTTGTCTTAACCCATTTCTGTTTTCGTTTCTTTTTGCTTCTATTTTTTTTTTTCTTTTACTCAACTAAATCGCACGACATGAAAACATAATTTTACTTCAAATTGCAATGACAGTTGCAGCAGCCACGCCCACACACTTGCAATTGCAAAAGCACCAGGGCACACACACACACGCACACACTCACACACGTGCACATAGTTGTCCTGCTGTGGAGTCGCATTCACATATATGAAGCACACCCTCCCTCCCCAACCATCGCTGTTGAATTTTGTTATGGCAACTGCGACTGCGAGGAGGACGACTGCGAAAAATTCCATTTCAATTGTTTGCTTAGCTTATGCAGTTGTGTTAAGCAAAATAACAAGAAATGCAAGAAAAGCAACGGAGAATAAGTGAATGGCACGCAATGAACACAAAAAAGTGCGAAAGCAATGCCTTTAAAGGCAAGTCGCTGGCTGAGACTGAGGCTGCGACTGAGGCTGAGGCTGAGGCCAAGGCAAGAATTCATGCAGCTCGGCAGAAATTTCATTATGCTCGCTGGCGACAAGTTGCAAGGTCTCAGCAGTGGCAAAAACAATTAAGATATTGCTTTGACCAGATTCCCACACACACTCTCTCTCTCTCTCTCTCTCTCTCACACACTCTCTCACCTGTTCACGAATATTTGACTCTTGCTCGCATGCCAGAGCATCTCGTCTATATGCCATATGGAAAACCCTTGGAATCTGTTGCCAACTCGGCACTTACAACTGTCTCTGCTGCTTCTTTCCATTTCTTTATGGCAGCTTTTTGTTCAGATTTCCTGATTTTCCAATTGAAAATGTGAATGCAGGGCATGCTGTTTCTGCT